ACATTATGTTGAGAATGTGATTAATTAGTTCAAACACTTGAACATTAAATAGGCTAATACTCCATTTGATCTAAATTTGAAACTTATAAAGAATGATGGAAGAGCTATACCACAACTTAAGTATGCAAGTACTATCGGGAGTCCATTGTATGTTGTGTAATGCACAAGAGCCGATAAAGCATTTTCAATTAGTAAATTTAGTCGGTTTACTAGCAATCTAAGTAAAGAACATTGGAAGGTTATCGGAAGGGTTCTTGGTTATTTGAAGAAAACTAAGGATCTGAGTCTGCAATATTCTAAGTTTTCGATAATAATAGAAGGATTTACTGATGTTAGTTAGATATCTAGTGTTTGTGAGAATAAATCAATCCCAAGTTGGGTATTTAACTTTGGAGGAGGTGTGTGCGGTCTCTTGGAAATCTAAGAAACAAACATGTATTACTCACTCAACTATGGAATTCGAATTTGTAGCATTGACTGAAATAGAAAAAGAAGTTGAATGACTTAGAGATTTAATGTATGAAATTCTCTTGGGAGAAAATAGTAATTCTTCCATATTTATCTTGTGTGACAGTCAAGCCACTTTAGGTAGAGCGTATAATGAAGTGTATAATGGTAAATCTAGATATATGAGTCTAAGATATGACTATGTGAGAAAATTAATCAAAGATGGAAACGTTTACTTACTTATGTGAAGTCAAATGAGAATTTGATTGATCCGTTAACTAAACCGCTCACGAGGAAATTAGTGCGAACAACAACTAGTAGGATGGGGTTAAAACTCCGTAATTAAATCCACTAGGAACCCTACTTGACTGTACTAAAAAGTATATTTCGGGTTCAAAGGATAACAAGTCATTAGATAAGTTGATAGATTTATTTTTTTAAAACCATATCCTAGGTTACAAATGTTCAAAAATATGAGGGTTAAGTTTCTATAACTTTTAATAAAGTTCAGATCGCTGGATCAAGTATCTCTAAAAGTGACAAATATACTGCAAGAACTTTACCTATATAAATTTCGAGGTGGTGTCGCTTCAATAGAGAGTTGAAGTTTCTCTCTTAAAAATTTATCAATAGGAGATGTACAAGGCCAGAAAAGTGTTAAACGAGATTGTGTGGAACTTGAAACACTTGATACTTGTGTGTATGATCTCACCGATATCATCACAAGGAATATTAAATTCAAACCTTTCATGCTACTTAGGATTTCGATGATTACTTTGTGAGATTTATGCTAAGGTTGGATTTAAATTGAAAGATATATATACTTTATGCAAAAGTGTTGTTAAACTACAATTTGTGCTCATTTTATATTTGAACAAGTGGGGGATTGTTGGATATTGTTCAAATTAACAATGAAGAGTGATTTTGGAAATGATGAAAATGGTTAATCATGAAAAAAAAAAAAACAAGAATAAAGCAAGAACAAAAAAACGGTGATGGCCAAAAAAATGACCTCGGCGGCCACCCAGGCTTAAGGCCGGGTTGCTTATGTTGCAATTACAGTGGCCCCGTTGCCCTTTGAAGTTTTGAATTCTGGTGTTTTTTGAAGGGTTTTATACCCTTTTGACTTGGTTTTTGTACATACAAAAAACATCAAATTCATTCATTTACATCCAAAATCAAAGATCAAATCCAATTTTTTATATTGTTCTTCAAAGTTCATTTTCCAAGTTTTGATTGCTTGATTCATACTTGGATTAAATTTTGTTTACTCCTACAAAATATTTGCCATTGAAGCCTTCAAACACTTACCCCAGTGATGACAAATATCATTTGAGGATAGCGATTCATAATTGAATTCAAACCTTACATTTGGAGATTTGTTGTTGCTGGTTTTATTTTCATTCTTCATCAACTTTGTTCAACACTAGACTTTTTTTTTTTTTTTTAAATGTACGAATACATAACAAAAAATCACACTGTGATATAGGTCGAGTTTTGGCTAACCTGGATTGGTTTTGCCCATATGCTAAGTGTGTAATTTACGTATCAAATCACTCTCAACTTAAACGACCCGATTTACCTTTCAA